TCCCCATCGGGGCCACGAAGCTAACGGTCTTCTTTACCTTTACTCCATATGCCAATGCTCTCCCCCCCCTTTCTGCTCGTCCCATCGTCCCCTCCCCTCCCCCCACTCACTTCATGAGCTCAAACTCCCCATCAGGGGGCACGAAGCTGACAGTCTTCTCGGTGTTGAAGCGAGCCAGGTTCACACACTGGTGGAACACCACGTCGTCCAGCTCTATGGTCTTGCCGCTGGGGGCAGAAGGGAAAGGGAGGGAGGGGGAAAGGGGTGGGGGGCGTGAGAGCAGAGTTTGGAGAGAAACAAACCAGTCGTGACGAGGTTCAGGCACTGGTGGAGCACCACGTCGTCCAGCTCTATGGTCTTGTTGCTGGGGGCGGACGTGGGAGGGAGAGGAGGGTGGAGGGCGTGAGAGCAGGAGGGTTTGAGAGCAGGAGGGCGTGACAGCAGGGACAGAGCCAGGATGGTCGTGTCGAGATTGACGCATTGGTGGAACACCACATCGTGCAGCTCTATGGTCTTGCCGCTTGGGGGAGAGAAAACCGCGTGGAGGGCGTGAAAGACGGGTAAAAAAAGAACTCTAAATCTTACCGAATCCCACCAGATCCCCTGCACTCCCCCACAAACCTCGCCTCACCACCACCCCCCTCCATCCCCCCTCTCATCCCCCTTCGCACCCACCTCACACCTCACCTCGCACCTCACCTCGTCACCCGCTCCGCCCAGTCCCCCCAACCCCTCCCAGCCCAGGGCACACACCTCCTGGCGGGGCGGGCGCGCATCTGCGCCTCGTTCTCAAGGCCGATCTTGTCGTTGAGACCCAGCTTGAGATCCGGCATGCCCGATAGGAAGCACTTCATCAGCACCTTGCCCGTCACGTCACACCGCAGAATGGTGCCTGCGGGTGTGGGGTGGGGGGGGTTGCGGGTGGGAGAGAAATAAGGAGAGGAAGAGAGCAGGAGAGTGTTAAGAGGGGAAAACGGGAAGAGGACAGGGAAAAGGGGAGAAGGGGAGGGGGAGGGAAGAGGGGCAGAGGAAGGGGGTGGGTCGTTGCTGTGCTGAATGCAAAAGGCGAGTCCGTAAAAAATACAATAACAACAGCAGAAGGAGGGGGAGGAGAAGAGGAACAGGCACGGGTTGCAAGAAGGAGATGCAGCCGTTTTGAACGATATTGAGAACTCTCAAAAACGAGGAGGAGGGGCAGAAGGAGAAGGAGGAGGAGGAGGAGGAGGAGGAGGAGGAGGAGGAGGAGGAGGAGGAGGAGGAGGAGGAGGAGGAGGAGGAGGAGGAGGAGGAGGAGGAGGAGGAGGAGGAGACGAGGAACAAGCACGGGTTGCAGGGAGGAGAGGAGGCAGGCGCACCTTTTTGTGACATGAGGAGGTTGACACTCTCCACAATATCTAAAAAGACCTGTCACGCACCGACACAGGCAGACGACAGATCAGACAGGCAGAGACACACGTCCCCCCCAACCCCACGCCCACTTCCCCCCAACACATTCCCCCACAAGCATGCGTGCAGACGAGTCATAAAAGGGCGCGCAGGGTTGGGACTAGGGCATTGGGCGGAGTTATGGGAGGACGACACAGCACGGGAAAGGAATGGCAGGAGGAACCAAGCAGGGATATTGGAGAGAGACGCGGGATGTCCCACACGAAGGAAGAGAAGCCGGTAGAAAATAAAGGGGAGACGAGGAAGAGGCGGGAGTAGGGTATGAGGAATGGAGAAAGGAGGAAGAGGGGGGAGAGGGGTGGGGGGGGAAGGTGGAAGGCGAAAGGGCAAGGGACACTGAACGAGCAGCAACAGGTTGGAGTGAAGCGAAGCGGAACGAGCAGCGAGAGGAGAATGAGGCGAGCGCACCTCGTTCTTCTTGTACACGAGCCCTTCTCTCCGCCACCCCACCGCGCCCGTGACTTGCAGCGTCGCATTGGCGGGCGGCCTCACCTCCTTCTCCTGCTCCCCACGGGAGGAAACGGGCGCACGGGGAGAAGAGAGGGAATGACAGTGGAGGAGGGATTTGAGCGTGAAAGAAGGGTGAAAAAAGGTGACAAAAGGGCGAAGGGAAATGCATGGCCTGCAAAGGAGTGATATGGGGGTGCGAACAGAGCCTGGCGCTTACCTTGGAGAAGGGTGACCGGACGCCCTCTTGTGTGATGTACAGCTTCACGATCTCCGGTGATAGATTCTGTGGGAACCCAAAGTCCATGATCTCTGTACGAGAGCGCGCGCGGGATTGAGGCCACATGCCACACCGCCATGCACACATGGATAATTGGGGCACGCACACACACCGCCAGGCATGCATGCACAAACACGGGCGCACACACACGTGTGCGTGCATGCAAGCACACACGCACACATGCACGCAAGCACACACGCACGCATGCACGCACACGCACACACAGGCATTCACCTCCCACAAACACACACAGGTGCGCGCGCTGGCCACACCCCCTCTCCCCAATCCTCTCCACCCCCCACACACACGCACATGCACACACACGCATACGAAGCAGCGTGCACACACATGCACAGATGGAAGCAACACGCGTGAGTGAGGCACGGTTGTGTGAAGAGCACGGGGCTAAAGACAAAAAAAAGAAGGTGAGGGCGGAGGTACGGTGTGGGTGAATCATGGGAGAGGCACGGGCAGTGGAGGGGGTAAAACAAGGGCAAGGGAGCAGAAGAAACAGTCAATTCTACACACTTAAGGCGCGCGTAAGGCTGGCGTACCATCCAGGAGCTCGTAGATAAGCACGAAGTTGTTGCGAATGGAGTCCTCGTCGAACGTGCCTCCGAAATACGACTTGAACAGCGCAACGGCCTGGGCAAAAGGACGGTACACGGCGAACGTACAGATAGAGCACGCATTGGAGCAGTTAAGCGGGCGCAACAGAACCTGGCCTCGTGCTTCGACTATGTGGAGACACAACTTCAGCCGGCACATCACCAGTCGAAGTACCCACAACTCAAACCACCACCTCTCACCATTCCCCCCGTCACTGCCTCTCCCTCCCCGTCATCCCGTCAAAACCCCCCCATCCCCATACGCGCACACGACTAAAAGTCACCCGATGCGGCGGCAGGAGCGCACGCACCTCGACGATGAACTTGAAGGCGAGCGCGGCGTTGGCGTTGCTGTTGACGACGATGACGATGTACACGTTGCTGATGCGCATGTACAGGAACGAGCAGTTGCCCATCTGCCTCACCGGACACGTGCCCAGGTCCTTGGTCTGCAGAATCTGCATGCGGAACGCATCCACCATGTTGCCGCTGCATGCCATGCCCGCACGCGCGCGAGAGGGGAGATGGAGGGCGGAAGACGGGGGGGGGGAGGGGGGGGGGGGGAGGAAGAGAGGTGGTAAGGAAGGCGAGAGGTAGATAAGGAAGTGGGGGAGAGAGGGAGGGAGCGAGAAGGGAGGGGAGGAGTGAGAGCAAGGCAACGGATTGACGTCGTAAGGGAGTGACGAACGTCGGAATAGGTGAACAGTTGAACACAACTTATCTAAAACGGATCATTATGGGACTCGCTTATAATCAGGAGGTGATGCTGACGTGGTTTAAAAAGGCACTTCAAGACAGGCAAGCTGAAGAGGCGACACTAAAGCGGCGGCAGCAAAGGTGTGCGTTTGAACCAGCTCGAGCAGATCTTGCATACATGCCGTTCTCCAGCTCGCGAAATTAGGCCTCGGAAAATGGTTACGACTAATGGATGCAACATTTTGCCTATGAATTTGCTAAAAGCGTGCGATATTCTTCACCAGTATTAAAGACAGCGTTCGAAAAGCCATGGATTTCACAGATGCGCCTGTCTCAGGTGCGCATCGTGGTTCCATGATATTAGAGTGTACCCGATGCGACACGAAAACGACAAGGCACTCACCCCACGTCATCTCGGTAAAGCCGGTTGATAAGTACGTCCCCTCGCAAGTTTAGGAAATAGATCGCCGACGCCGCCACAGGCATGGTTCGCGGCGCACGACGGGCAGAGCCCGCTCGCCGGCTGTTTGGTTAACGCTTGGCGAAAGCCGAGAGCAGGGAAAGGCCAGTGGCTGACACAGAGTACCTCGAGCCTAAATGGGACCTTCAGATTCAAGATGTGCTATTTCCAGTATCGACACCATAAGACTGCATCAGGAAAACATCCGGCAAAGGGATGGAAGCTAAGAGGAGCCAGATCCACGACCAGCTGCCTGATCCGTTCGTACGAAAAGACTCGCGTTCGTACTACGGGAGAGCGACAGTTCCTAGGATTGCCAGTCGGCACTGGAATAGCTAGTGCTCTGACGCTCAGAGATTTGCAGTCTAGGAATTGCTGGCCGACAATGGTGAACCAGATCGGGCGGAACCTCGGCGAAAATGGAAGAATGCTGGGAGCCAAGATTTCATTAGAGTGCAGCGCTTTACAGTGCACAAGACGTCGAAAACAAAATATTTTGTACCGAACAATAGTGCCTTGATGTAGAATATTCGAATATTGCAATGTGAAAGCGGGAAGGGGAGCGGACGTGAGCAGAGCGGAGCGGACTGATTGCACAGTACGGGGGGAAATGACTCGCAACAAGCGTGCGGAGCTCACGCGCTGCGCTGCTGGCACTGGGGACCACGCGCTGCGCTGATGGGGCCCTCTCCGCATATCGGAGGTTGAGCTGAGGTCAGCTGAAGAAATCGGCCAAGGTTCTCTTCAGCGGGATTGGTCGGTGCCTCCACTGCCGCGGAAGTTTTCTGAGCTGAGCGCGTGGAAAGAAGCTGTCGGAGAGCAGAGCGGAAAAATGCGCGCAGCCTGGTGGGGGACAATTGCGAAGGTGGCCCTGAATTCTAATCCTCAATTGCGCCCAAATGTGGCTACAGTGCCTGCATTTCTAAGGCATCGCTTCAACTGGAACCACGTACAGAACCTTTTTTCCAAAACCGCAGTTATCAATGTCGAAGAGATTTCACCGGACGTCCGTTGAACGCGCAAACCACACAAATTTGTTCTGCGTATTCGCATCGCGTCCAGAATGCGCGTGGTGTCGTGGAACATCAACGGGCTGCCGACCACATTCAAGGAGGCCAGCAGCAAGTACGGCTCCGTCGCGAGCTTCTTCTCAAACGTCCTCCGCGCGGACGTGCTCTGTCTGCAGGTACTCCTAACCATCGCCACCGCGTTGACGTGTGCGCGTGGAGAGAGTCCGCGTGGAAGGGGTGCTCTCACCATCCGCACCACGTCGACGCAGCAAATTCAGCTACTGCCAATCCTTACCCCCTCCCTTCCCTCCTTTCCATTCCTACCCCCGCTGTCCCCTCCCCGCCCTCCCCTTCTTCTCCTTCTCCCGAAACCCCCTCCCACCCCCCACCCCCCCCCTGTCCGCCATGATCACCCCCCATCGCCTACCCCCCTGTCCGCCTGTGCGGCAGGAGGCGAAGGTGGCGGAGGAGCGGGTGGAGCGCGCGTGGGCGCTGGTGGACGGGTACGACTCGTACTGGGCGTTCAGCCGCGACAAGAAGGGGTACAGCGGTGAGCGCGCGCGCACACACACTTTCCCCCCCTCCACACACACACAGAGAAACACACACACACACTCACACAAACACACACAAACACACACACACACACACACGCACACACACATACACACACGCTCGCACCTCCCCATCTCTCCCTTCTTCCCCCCCACGCCCTCCCCCCCACACACAAACGTGCGTCGTTTTCTGGTCTTCACTAAGCTAGTGCTCACTCTCGCGCCGTGCCTCCCCCTTGTCTTGGCGATACGTCAGCGTTTCAAGCTTCCACACATTTCACTCCATGCACCACCCCACCACCATACATACCGCACCGCACCCCATCCACCCACCACCCCCACGGCAGGCTGCGTGACCTTTGTGCGCGACGCCCTCACCCCTCTGGACGCGCTCGCCGATGCTGTCGGCCCCAACGGCCTCGCGTGGCAGGCGAGGAGCACAGAGAGAACGCCGTGGGAGGCCATGGGGGGGCCTGTTGTTGACACGCCGGGTGCTGGTGCCCCTGGTGGTGGGGGAGACGAGTTTACGGATGGGGGAAGGAGAGGAGAAGGAGTGGAGGTGATGGAGGAGGGGGAGGGGGAGGGGGAAGGGGAAGGGGAGGGTGACGGGGAGGAGGGGGAGGGGGAGGGGTCGGTGTGGAGGGAGGGGAGGTGTGTGAGGACAGACCATGGGCGGTTTGTGCTGCTGAACGTGTACGTGCCGAATGCAGGCGAGCACAAGCACGGGCGCCCACGGCTGCGGCGCAAGATGGGGTTCCTGCGAGCGCTGCGCACAGAATGTGAGGTGGGCTGGCGGCCAGGAGGAGGGATTGGGGTGGGGAAGGAGGGTAACGGAGCGGTGAGGGTTGGGATTGGGTGCGATGTGTGCGAGTGGGTTGGGATGTGTGAGTGAGAGTGGGTTGGAAGGTGTGTGGGGGTGCTTTGAGAGGCTGTGAGCTATGTTGCGCCTGACGCGTCAGGCGTTTTTGACGCTGGCGTCTGGACGGGGCGTCCAGACGCTTGACGCCCGGTGCCCTCTGCCCTGGACGCCCGCTTGACGCTAGTCCGGGCAGGGCAAAAATGTTTTCCGGGCAGGGGTAAAAAAACCTGCCTAGTAAGGATACGCAGGGGTTAGAATGCAAGAAGTTAACATTTGTCACCTATAGTTATAAATACTCCATAATATCCAGAAAATCCTGAAAATCTCCAGAAGGCGTGGAGGCACTAACAGAATGACTGGCGGGACTAGGAGTTGACATGATATCTTAATCGCCTTAACCTAATTTTAGCTAGGAAGGCTTAGTAGCGTGACTGGCGAATTCTAGTGTAAGGAATTCTTGACAATGTCGAGAGAAACAGATCTGTGTAATGTCGGCCTAGATCTGGTTCTCTAGTTTAGTTGGGGGTCGACCAGGTTGGGAGAGGTAGATGTGGATGGGTACAAATGTGTGGGGGGGAATAAGTGAGGGTTGCGTTTTTTAGGTCAAAAACGCGGCCCCCAGATGGCAATTTCATCGTCAATTCTGGTCGCAATGAAATTGCGAGTCAATTTCGTGCAGGATAATTTTTTTTCGGGCTGCCCGAAATTTTTTTTCCCGAACGTCCAGCGTCAAACCGATTTGACGCGTCCAGCGTCCGGACGTTCACGTCCGGACGCTGGACGCTGCCCTTCCAGGGCGTCAGGCGCAACATAGGCTGTGAGGGAGCAAGAGGCTTGAAATCTGCGGGTTGACACGCCCTTGTTCGACTCAGACCGTCTCACTCCCCACCCTATCTGCCTCCCTCTCTCCTCACCATCCCCCATACCAGGCGATGCGGTAAGGGCGAGTGGGCGGCACGTGGTGGTGGTGGGCGATGTGAACATCTCCCACCAGGACATAGACGTGTTCCACCACTGGCGCGTTGACCACATCTACTGCGCTGGTACGTGCGTCACGTCAGTCACCCAACAATCAGCTACTGCTGCATAACGTGTACATCTTGCTGCCCTGCATGCAACCTCAAACCTGCCCTGCAAGCAACCCCACACCTTCTCCTGCCTTTCCCCCCAACTCCCCCTCTCAGCGGAGCTGCAGTGGCTGGATGCGCTGTTTGGAAGCCCCGGTGCGCCCTACGTAGACCTCTTCCGCCACTTCCACCCCTCGGCAGCCGGCGCCTTCACCGTGTGGGACCAGCGCACCGACGCGCGCAGCCGCAACGAGGGCCAGCGGTGCGTGCCGTGTTGCAGTCGACTGAATGGTCACCTCGCTGTTTGCTTTGGCCTTCCCTTCCCTTCCCATCCCATCCCATTCCAAACCACACATCCCCGTTCTCTTTCTCTTCCCACCCCATCCCACACATTTCGTCCCCTGCCCCGGCCCTGGCCCCGGCCATCCTCCCAGCATCGACTATGCAGTGTGCGACGCGGCCTTCCTCCCGCACGTGCTCGCATGCGACATCGTGCGAGTATCCCCCAAGCAGTGGAGCGACCACGCTGCTGTCGCCCTCACCCTCTCTGATGATACTTCCCTGCCGCTCCTGCCCCCTCACCCCCGCCCGGCACTGTCCGCGCACAACATGCGAAAGTTCCAGGAAGATGTGTCGCAGAGGAAGTTGACTGCCATGTTTGGTGCGCGGAGGGGAGGAGGGCGAGGAAGAGGAAGGGGTGGGGAAGAGCGGGGAGAGGCGGGAGGGCAAGCGGAGAGGAGAGGGAAGGAGGGCGGTGGTGGGAACGAGGAGGAGAACAGAAAGAAGGAGAAGGGACTGGAGGACACGGAGGGAGGTGGGGAGTTAGAGGAACGAAGAGGCAAGGGGGAAAGGGAAGGTGGGGAGAGGGAAACAGGGGACGGAGAATTTGTGGAGAGGAGGGATGGGAAGGACGGGGGGGAGTTATCAAAGTGTATAGTGAGCATTGGTGGGAGGGAAAGTGGTTTAGGTACGGGCAGTGGTGACACATGCACGAGGGATGCTGGTGAGGGCGATGAGAGGCGTGTATCTTGCGAGGGTTATTCGGGTGAGAGGGAGCGGGAACGCAAGGAGAGGGGAGGCAGGGAGGGAGAAGGCAGGGAGGGAGAAGGCAGGGAGGTACGTGGAGGCGCATCAGGTGCAGTGGCAAGGGTGGCAGTTGCAGATGAAGCTGTGTGTGCGGCTGTGAGCCCAGGCTGCCCAGCACACGTGCCCAGCGGGGGGATACTACCAGGAGACGATGTGTTTCCAAGGAATGGTGTGCAGGATGGCAGTGAGAAGGAGGCGGAGAGAACAGAGGGTGGTGGGGGTGGTGAGGGAGGCGAGGGCATTGGGAGAGTGGAGAGGAGATGTGGAAGCATGGAAGATGGTAGAGATGGTCGTGCTACTGCTGGCATTGATGTTGGCGGTGCTGGTGACGGTGCTGCTGGCGTTGATGTTGGCGGTGCTGGTGACGGTGCTGCTGGCGTTGATGTTGGCGGTGCTGGTGACAGTGCTGCTGGCGTTGATGTTGGCGGTGCTGGTGACGGCGCTGCTGGCGTTGATGTTGGCGGTACTGGTGACGGTGCTGCTGGCGTTGATGTTGGCGGTGGTGAGGGGAGAGGTGGCACGTGGCGTGCAGGGGAAGATGAGAGTGGGCGAGAGAGGGAACGTGGTGGTGGAGCCGAGGGGCGGGATAAAGAGGTCTTAGCGAGGAGAGATGACAACGACGATGGTACCGGTACTTCTAGTGCTCGAGATGCGGCTGGTTTGCAGACCGCAGGATCAGCTGGGCTTGCAGTAGCAGCAGCTGCAGCAACAACGGCCGCAACAACTGCAGCTGCGGCACAAGAGCGTGGGAAAAGAAGGGCAAATAGTTTGGGTGTGGCTGCAAGCGGGAGGGGTGCAGCTAAGAGGGGGAGGCGAGGGGGTAGGGGTGGCTCTGCTGCTAAGAGAGTTGGCACTAGTGCTGGTGCTGGCAAAAGTGGCTCACAACGCTTGATCACCCAGTTTGTCAAAAAGAGTTGAGTATGCTACAGTTAGCTGCTTTCCCCTGTGCGGTCTGTGCTCGTTCATTCTTTCGTTGTCTAATGCCGCCTCTGTTTGTGTGTGCACGCGCTGGTCGTTAAAAGAGCAAGTTGGGGAATACACCGTACCGGTAAATGCCAAAGGCTTGGGATCCCACACAAACACCACAGTGCAACACAGAAAGCACACCTAGATCACAGGAGACCCTGCGCGTCAGCAGGGCAACGTGGCTTTGAGGCCCATCTAACAAACCAACGCAACCTGCTGCCTTGCTTAATTCGACCGAGTTGGAGGTGCTTATCATCAGCAACACAGAAAAGGTGTCTACAAAGGAGGTTGTGAACTAGGGTCAACGATGTACAGGCGGGCTGGACTATGTACAGAGCTATACACGTGCAGAACGTACCACACGGCTGGCTGGCTATGCTCGCGCATGCATTGTGCACCCACACATGCATACCCGCCGCTCTGCTTATATTTTGTCTGGATGCGTTCCCCTTCCACATGCGACATCCAGAGAGGCCTTCTGCAGGCATCCTTAGTAAGCTCCCCACACACGCACGGACACGGGGTGCTCTGGCACGAAGGCAACACCACTGCAGGGGATGACTTGGTGGTGCCCTGATGTTGTTGATCCAATGCTGGTGTCGTCGTATGGTGCTCTGCCACTGCCACTGCTGCTTCCGCTGCTGCTGCTGCTGCTGCTGCTGCCCCACATGCTGCTGGTGCTTCGGGCCGAATGCCTAATGCCATGCAATGGGATAAGACGTGTTTCCACGGAGGGGAAGGTGAAAGGATGATGAGGTTAGCAAAAGGAGTGGTGAT